GTGAGTTTAAAAGATTAAAAGGAAAATGATCAACACAGAGACCGGGTTTTGTGACGTCAGTGTGTGCCGGGTGGAGAGAAGATTCTGGCTTGGAAAGCCATCACCTTCTCCCACAGATCCCTTCATGGCAAAGCCTTTTATTAACAGTTTACAACATCAAACAGGCGGGCCTAAAACAGCAGACCCAATAATGATTGTCTGAGAGGATGCAGGTAACAAGATGGTGTGAATTGACCAACTGGCTGGATGGAAGTCACACATCCGTGTGATTCTGCCTCATGACCTACAGGAGGTCATAAAAGTTTATGACCCTTCTGGTTGAAACACAGGATAGTTATCACTCTAACATTTCCCTCCTCTTATACATAAAAACATCAGCATCTTTCAATTCATATTTTATTCATAGGAGTAGGAATATGAGTACAAACATAACAGTCTGTTTTGTTCAAATCTTCAGCAACATGTTTTGCATGTTGCCACCACATCTTGGCACTGTAGGATGACTTGCTGTGGATCCATCAAAAATCATCCTGCTCTTCCTTTGTTTCAGACAGTCAGTTTGAGTTCCTAGGAACACCGGTCCAACAGTCATCACCGGGCAGCATAACAACTTTGGTTTTTCAGATCTTTGCCAGTCCGTCCAAGGAAACACCCACTAACCGGACTCTAAAAGACTGGGTTAGGTTGTTTTTTTCACCAGCGTTGAGACGAGTGGTCCTAAAAAAACCAAACCCCTTTGAAGCTGGACTTCACCACAGATCTATACCTTAGTCGTGGGGTCCCTGTGAAAGTAACTGGGCTTTTTTGCTGTGGAAAGTTTTTAATCAGTTTACAATGACTCTGGTGGATCCAAGTGTCTCTCTCCTGGATTTTCACGGCAGTGGGGGTTGTTAGTTGCACTATGTAGGGTCCTTCCCACCTCTGAGCTTTCCAAGTTTTCCTTTTGATGATTTTAATCAGCACTCGGTCTCCAGGCTCCAGGCTTTCCTGTGGGGAAACAAAAGGAGCACTAGGCAGATTACATGTTTTCCGAACAGTTTTGTCGCTGAAAAGCTTCAGCATCCACTTAGTTAGCGGGTCAATGTCATCTTGTTCGTTTTCTGCCCATGGCTTTCCTGTTTCTGCCATGAATTTTCTCAATCTATTTTTAACATCCTCGAACCATTTAACTGGGTTCTGTCTGGCTGGAGGTAAACCTCGACAGGCAGTCCGCATCTCTGCATCTGTCCATGGCCCACACACAAGAACAGTGGGTCCACAATCCAGTGGGTCACCATCTTGGGGTCCCGTGCGTTGACCACAATGAGGGTTGGCCACCTCCAACACCGGAAAAGCACATGCCCCCCTCCCAGGATCTTGGTCCTGTTCTTGTTTTTTTAATTCAGCCAATCTTGGATAAATAGGGGCAGATGGGCCCCTTCCACAAGCCTCCACTTGATAATGATCCCTGTAACACTTCGAATCAAGCTTCACATCCCCCCCTGATCCTCCCAACTCATGCTCACAAGAGTCAGAGGCACTGAGTTCCATACCATCCACAGAGGACGACACGGACATGGGGCCTGCTCCTGCTCCTCCAATATCACCACACGATGGTGGGGCTACTGGAGGAGGAACAGTGGCATGGCTGTGTTCACATTCACTGTGATGGGGTTTATCTCCACCTTCCTGTGCAGCTGATGCCACTGCTTGAACCCCATCACCCCCTTGAATTTGATTAGGATCAGGATATTGAGGAAGCATACGGGAAACAACAGTTTCTTCATCAGCTTTAACTTTTACAGCAGCAATTGTAGCTGTCTTTCTATCGTTCTTCTGTTGTATTTGGCTTTCCTTATTTTTTGCTTGCATAATCCACTTATTTAACTCTTCTAATTCTTTTCTGTATTTAGCTTGTTTTCTTTTTGATTTATACACCAACTTCATCTCCACCTTCTGCTGAATCTTAGTCAGCGGCTCAACTTTCAACTTTTCATCCCAGCCCTCCTTCTCAATCCACTTTCTGGCAAACTCTGGGTCACCACCACAACACGCCACCATCCATCTAACATCACCTGGCATTTCCTTCTTACTACTACCTTGTCCCATTTTTAAAGAATTTAGTCCAGTACACAGCGGTTCGATTGTTTCCTCACACACTTTCACACAGTCACACACACCTAAGGCCTAATATTTTTTATTTTTTAACCAACATAGAGTCCCAGACTCGAATGCACAGAATACCCAGGTCCCAGACTTGTAAACAAAACTTGATTTCGTCAAATATTCTTGCAACTACAACCAGTTATAGCTTGAACACAGAGGGTCCCAGACCCAAACGCACAGAATACCCAGGTCCCAGACTTGTAAACAAAACTTGGTTTCGTCAAATATTCTTGCAACTACAACCAGTTATAGCTTTCACACAAAGGGTCCCAGACCCAAACGCATAGAATACCGATCCCAGATCTCTCACAACAAACCCTGTTTGTCAAATATTCTAGCGACTACAACTAGTTATAGCTTTCACACAGAGGGTCCCTGACCCAAAACGCATAGAATACCGATCCCAGATCTCCCACAACAAACCCTGTTTGTCAAATATTCTAGCGACTACAACTAGTTATAGCTTTCACATGGTCCCAGACCAGCTTTTAATAAAAAACCTTAGGCGTACCGTTTCTGTGCAGATCAGTCCTCAGCTTGAGTCGTCACCAGGATGTCCAGGGCAGGGCTGGACCAACCTATTGGCTCCGTCCGGCAAAGGGTGGACGGCTGTTGACAGTTTCTTGGCCTTGGTCCCGCACGGTCCTGGACAATTGGATCTTGACTCCCGGAGTTTCAGCACCAAAAATGTTGGGTTTTTAATCCAGAGAAATGTGAGTTTAAAAGATTAAAAGGAAAATGATCAACACAGAGACCGGGTTTTGTGACGTCAGTGTGTGCCGGGTGGAGAGAAGATTCTGGCTTGGAAAGCCATCACCTTCTCCCACAGATCCCTTCATGGCAAAGCCTTTTATTAACAGTTTACAACATCAAACAGGCGGGCCTAAAACAGCAGACCCAATAATGATTGTCTGAGAGGATGCAGGTAACAAGATGGTGTGAATTGACCAACTGGCTGGATGGAAGTCACACATCCGTGTGATTCTGCCTCATGACCTACAGGAGGTCATAAAAGTTTATGACCCTTCTGGTTGAAACACAGGATAGTTATCACTCTAACACAGACAATGTGAACCAGAACCTTTAAAATTTAGAACTGCATTATCTAGTAATGATAAGCTAAACTCTGTTAAAGTAATTCTGAAGGTTTTAAAAAGTTGTGAGAGAGGACAGGATTGTGAGCAAATGCTGTTATTTTTTTCCCATTTAATGCAATATGTCAGTACAGAGTCGAAAGTATGAATATGAGAATGTCACCTTTAATGTCAGCATGGATGTTAAAATCCCCCACTATGGTGACCCTGTCAGTATTCAACACTAAATCAGATAGGAACTTTGTAAACTCGTCTAAAAATTCGGAGTAAGGACCTGGTGAACGATACAAAGTTACAGAAAGAAGAGGATTTGTTGCTTTGCAATTTATACTGATTACAGTCTCTTCTAGTTATAGCCCTGGGATGTTCAGCGGCATAGGACTAAATTTGGCCAAATGGTTGCATCCATCAGAGGAGCACCGTGAAGGGAAACATTGCCAGCTCATATTAGGGGCTGTGCAACCTACATAAGTATCAAATTCTCCTTGAAACATTGTGTTAGGAATCCAATTTGTGTGGGTTGTTTTTGTGTTTTTCTCTCTCCACCACCCTGGTGCCCTGTTCCTCATTGGGCCTCACCTGCCGCTCGTTTGATCATTACCGGAGGAGTATTTGAGCAGCGGGCTGTCACTACCTCGATGCCAGAGTGTTTGCCAGTTTTGGGTACTATAGCCAAGCTGACATGACATGACTGAGTGTAATCTTGTTTTTGTCTTTGCTCTTCGGCAGGAAGTCTTTCCTGTGTAAGTGGATAAAGTGGACCTTCTCCCCCTGATCAGGGGTAAACCTCCACATGATCCGTTCAAGTCCTCATCAGAAAACCAAGTGACAGTCCGCTCCTTTACTCCAACGTATGTCTACCTGTCCGCTCTCCAACGAGTTCACTCTCCTCTGGATTAATTCCCAACAAACTGGATTCAAGGATTAACAGGAGCCCCCCTCAAACCTGAGTTTCTCTCCAGCTATATTCAAGCCTCAGTCAATTTTCCTACGGTCCCTGAACTGATCACTGTGATCTCACCTTCAAACTTTCCGGTTCAGGTTCACCAGTCCACTGAGTTCCAGCTCCTACTTCTGTATTTCATCAACATACAATAAACCTCTTAAACTTTTTCCATTGGTCTCTGAGTGGATCTCTGCATGTGGGTCAGATCGCTTAAACCAATTATTACACATTGGTTGAAAACTAACCACACATGTGTTCACGGTGAATTGATATGTTTCCTTGGGTCTTTTAACATAAGTTTATTTAGATTTGATGTTATTGGCATCTTATGTTTGTGTCCACTCTGTTTTCTCCCATAGTGTCTTGTTTTTACAGTACCTGCCTTGGGACAGTAAATGCAAATTAGCTGTTGTGCTAATTCTGGCATATTTACGTTGAAGCTTTAAGCTGACATGTTGCTAAATGTGCATTGTTGAATAAGACAAAAAAAAAAAAAAAGAGGGTCTACTCTAACTCCTTCATGTTCAACAGCCCACAGCTGGGGTTCTAACTCTGACATAAAAATATAAGAAGCTCTGAGAAACTGATCAGCTTAAAGAAACGAAAGTCTGTATTTCAAAAATGTCAGACATTCATTTAAAAGGGGTTAATGAGGACAAAAACATTTGTGACACTAATAATATATTTGTAAACAGAAGGTTGAGAGTCTGAAATCTGAAGAAGTTGTATTTTAGTTTTTCATTTTATTTATTTTTAATCCATCAATCAGTTTTTTAGTGTAAATTAGAGCTGGGATTTAGGTTGATTCTTAGCGG